CCCCCCCCTTAGTTAGTTTATATTAGAATTATAATTATTCCCTAAATGTAATGAACAAAGTTAGAAGTTTGTTAAAACAAGAATTAAACATATTCTTCTATAATATTCATGAAAGAAGATATTTAGATATTTAGCTAATGTACAAACTAATGCAAATGCTAATGTAAACAAGACAGAATTCTGAAATACAAAATTTAACAACAATAATATAAAAAGGATAATATAGAGCTTGGATTACAGGATATTTCAAGGCTCAGTAAAACATATATGTAGATAGATAGATAGATAGATAGATAGATAAATAGATAGATAGATAACTAGAAATAAGATAGATGGATAGATAAATATTTGAGAATAACTTTTGACGCCTACAAGTCATAAGGTGGGTGAAATCGTTAAAAAAATCGTTACTTTTCATAAGGATAAATAAAAATCGGAAATTAGTAATATGCCTTGAAAAGTTGAGACTATAATGACTCTGATATAAGTATCTAATATCTAAGGGCTATATTATATNCCTCAGGATAGGGTTAATGTTCTGACCTGATCTACACTGCATGCATTCTCATCAGAACCATCGGCACAGTCCAGCTGCTCGTCACAAAACAAAGCCTTGAAGTGATAGACACAAATTGATTATTTATTAAATATGTTGTTTTATATCTATTTATGTAATTGGTATGAAGTGCAAAATTTACAAGGGGAACAAATGAAACCATGTTAATTTGCATAGAACAAAAATAACATCTATTTTCATTTTCTTTACCTTGGAAATACACTCTCCATTTCCACACTGCAGCAGACCGTCGGCGCAGACCGGTTCGTCAGTTTTCAGGTTGGGCAGAACACGACGCGGCTCTGCAAAGTGAAAACAATTTAGACCGGTTCGTCTGTTTTCAATTTTCAGGTTGGACAGTACACGACGGGGCTATGTCATTTAAAATAATTTAGACCGGTTCGTCTGTTTTCAGTTTTCAGGCTGGGCAGTACATAATGGGGCTATGCCAATTTAAAATAACTTAGACCGGTTCGTCCGTTTTTAGGTTTGGCAGATCACGACTGGGTTCTGCAAACTAACAGTAGTTTAGACCAATGCATTAGTTGGCAGGTTGGGCCGAACACACCAGGGCTCTGCAAATTAAAAATAACTTAGACCGATTCATCAGTACCTACGTTGGGCAAAAGGGGTTCTGTAAATTATAAATAAATTAGATAGGTTTATATTGAACAAAATATACGTTATACACAATTATTAAAAATTGTACATTTTTTATCTAAAAATATAAAAAAAACACTTACTTGAAAGGCTGTCACAGTTGTTTACTTTTGCTTTCCAATCGCAGGTTTGTTTAACAATATCGAAAGCAAGTCCTGAAGGGCATCTGACGGCAGCCAGCCTAATTGTCCCGGCTACACCGGCTCTATCACATCTGGAGCATAAAAAGACAATTAGAGAATTATTTTGTGTTCTTCAAAAAGTTTATTTTAATATTTTCCCCATAAAATATTGATTCGTTCTGAGTAAAAGTATGTGTATCAATCAGATAGAAAATTAATAAATATTTTTTTAAAAGGGTTCTGAGGCAATGAGGAAAAATTTTAAATCATAATTATCATAATGTGCAAGATTCTGATGTTATAGAAAGGCCCCTTTTTAGCTTTAGATTCAGTTTGGTAGGTTAATTTTTTGTTGTCTATAATCATTTAAAAAGCAGCGAAAAATGTTATTCAAAGAAAAGATATACAGTATATACTACAGGGTGATTTTTAAAAGTCGATTTCTTTAAAATGTTTACCAAAGCATATCAAGGTACAATAAAAAGTTGATTTTAATATTTATTAACGCGACATTTGATTAAGAAATTGTTTATCTCTACCATTGTTAATATTTCTTTGCTTAAAGAGGCTCGGAAGCAACTTCAAAACTTAGAACCCGATATTTGGACAATTTGACATTTGTACATCACATAAAGGACGAATTTAATATTTTAAAAGCAGGAAGATTTCTCATGTATTTAGGGTTCTTCAAAGTTATTACAACTGGTAAAAACCATAATAGAATATGTTTGAAAAGATTATTTTATGGAGAAAATGGAAAAAAATGCCGAGAAATGCCGTATTTTCACACTGTTTGACCTGTTTAAGGAAGACATGTAATTTTTTTCTGGTTTTAGCCATTGCTTTTTTGGGAATTATCAAATGTCAGACAATCACCAAGAAATTGGGAGATTTTCTTAATCAATATTGCGGATTTTCAGCACTTAAATGAAAAATATCGACTTTAAAAATTCACCCTGTGCAGTGAATAAATCAATAAAATTTTCATTTTTCCCTGAAGCAATAAAGAATGTTGCTTTTAGGATATACCAAACTCAGATTAAAATTTAAAAATAAGTTAAAATTTTCAATTTCTTTTTTTGAAATTTCAAAAATCACATTTCTCCCTGTTTCGAGGTTTCCAACGGTAATGTATGTAATATACGTAATCCAGATATCTTAGTTTTAGCATAATTTATACACATAGAAGCTAAATTACCTAGCAATGAGGATATGAAAACCTAATCTTTTCCCTTGAATTCCTAATATTAAATTATACCTAGTATTTTATTAAATATACTAAATCTACCAAATACGCGCATTAAAGATTAAGTTATTTTACAGATTTAGGAGTTCAACAACCACTCAGATTTTGTTATCCAAACAAAAATTAAACAAAAGATGTTTTCCAAAACTGAAAACAAGTATATTTAAATTATTAAAGGGGATAATTTTCAAAATGTTAAAGAGCTAATCTGATTTTTATGACACAAAGTTTCAAATTTTGATCATTCTACCCCACTGTGACATTTTGAGTGTTGTAAGATCATGGTTAAATTGTCTTCAAATAAAATATCGGGTGTTTCGTGAATTTTAAAATACCCGTTGACATATTCTTTTTGTATAACGCTTTCATTTGTTTCAAATTACAGTGATAAACAGAAAATTCTGAAATAGGAAGACGATTTTTAAACTCAAGTTTGGACTTGTTCAATGAACATTAGTAATTGTACAGTGTAAATAGACCCATTTCATTTAAACAGTGCTTTTTAAGTTACTAGTCACAATATTTGCTTTGTAACAACATCAACACACTTAAGTATTCCTATAATGTTGTCTTTCTATTCCATTGTTTTCTGGTTATCACTGTAGTATACATTAAACCCTAATGTGTTCATTGAACACTAATGTGTACACTGAACACTAATGTGTACACTAAACACTAATGTTTACACTGAAAACTAGTGTGTACACTGAACACTAATGTTTACACTGAACACTAGTGTGTACACTGAACACTGCAATGTGTACACTGAACACTAATGTGTGCACTGAACACTTATGTGTACACTGAACACTAATTTGTACACTGAACACAAATGTGCGGAATGAACACTTATATGTGCACTGAACACTAATGTGTGCACTGAACACTAGTGTGTACACTGATTACTAATGTGTGCACTGAACACTAATGTGTACACTGAACACTAATGTGTGCACTGAATACTAATGTGTACACTGCACTGATGTGCACACTGAACACTAATGTGTACACTGAATACTAAATGTGTGCACTGAATACTAATGTGTACACTGAACACTAATGTGTACACTGAATACTAATGTGTACACTGAATACTAATGTGTACACTAAATACTAATGTGTACACTGAACACTAATGTGTACACTGAACACTAATGTGTGCACTGAATACTAATGTGTACACTGAACACTAATGTGTACACTGAACACTAGTGTGTGCACTGAACACTTATGTGTGCACTGAACACTAATGTGTTTACTGCACACTAATGTGCACACTGAACGCTTATGTGTACACTGAACAATATTGTGTGAATTGAACACTAGTGTGTACACTGAACACTAATGTGTGCACTGAACACTAATGTGTGCACTGAACAATAATGTGTGCACTGAATACTAATGTGTAACTGAACACTAATGTGTCCACTGAACACTAATGTGTACACTGAACACTCATGTGTACACTGAACATTGATGTGTACACTGAAAACTAATGTATGCACTGAACACTAATGTGTGCACTGAATACTAATATGTACACTGAACACTAATGTGTGCACTGAACACTAATGTGTACACTGAACATTTATGTGTACACTGAACACTAATGTGTACACTTAACACTAATGTTATCATTCCTTGCATTACTATTAACTTATATAAAGAGGCTGTATACGTGACGGCAAGTGACCCTCCCTGACCAAGGATGACATATATGTATTGCCAATTTTTCGCAAGCCACTTTTACGAAAAACCACAAACCAAGTTTTTTATTTTCAAATAAAAAACATAACTTTCATAACTTTCACCCAGATTAGGGCTTAAAGGGGGTAGCATTTTGAATCTGGCATGCGACTCTTTGAATATAGGTAGATTTGATAATAGTCTCTTTAATAAATAGGAAAAACGTTGACAGTTCCTTTAAATAATAGATAAACGTTGATCGTCCCTTTAAAGAAAGGGAATAAGGTTGACCGTCCCTTTAAGTAATAAGAAAAAGATTGATAGTCTCTTTAAAGAATAGGAAATACCGTTGACAGTCCCTTTAAAAAAAGGAAATCACGTTGACAGTCCCTTTAAAGAATAGGAAATTACGTTGACAGTCCCTTTAAAGAATAGGAAATTACGTTGACAGTCCCTTTAAAGAATAGGAAATTACGTTGAAAGTCCCTTTAAAGAATAGGAAATAACGTTGACAGTCCCTTTAAAGAATAGGAAATTACGTTGACAGTCTCTTTAAAGAATAGGAAATCACGTTGAGAGTCCCTTTAAAGAATAGGAAATACCTGACAACATCTCTGCAATCTCCTTCCGGTTCAGCTTTTAATCTAAATCAAGGGAAAATTGAAATTAATTCAGAAACATAATTACAATTATCTTTTAGCATTTTTTGTGTATTTTGCATGTCTTCATTTTAAAGGGGAAAATACTAATCGAACAAATTTGAAGACCTTTAATCCTTTACCCAATTGTGACAACAACGTCAATTAAGACAAAATATTCAGAACTATAAACCTTTGAGTGTTTGACCTTTGATATTTATAAATAAGAGGTTAAACAGTCAAAGAATGAAATATCTGGTTAAAAGGTTTAAATAAAACACCAGGTTGCAAAATATGTGTTGAGTAATCAGTAAAATTGCGTCTTTTATAATCTCCTAAATTCCTTTCTCCGACAAATCCAAAGAGTAGAAAAAACTTTTTTGGACGAAAAAATTTGCCACGACTTGAGAAGTTTATTTTGTTCTAAAACTTGAGTTTTAAATTTATTTTTAAGATAAAAATGAAAAAAGATGTACCACAGACCTGAAATATTCGTCTGATATTCTGTCTTTACACAGCTCTTCTGGAGAAGACTGACCTGAAATTAAAAAAAATATCTTAAAAGTCGTCTTCACATATTTACTAATAATATCTATCTATTATCTATCTATCTATCTATCCATCTATCTATTTACCTTTTTATCTATCTATCTATCTATCTATCTATCTATCTATTTATCTATCTATCTATCTATCTATCTAATCTATCTTTATATCTATCTTTCTATTCATCTATTTATCTATCTATCTATCTACAGATACAGAGATAAAGATACTGATATACTGAGATACAGATACAGAGATACAGATACACAGATACAGATACAGAGATACAGATACAGAGATACAGATACACAGATACAGATACAGAGATACAGATACAGAGATACAGATACAGATACAGATACAGATACAGATTCAGATCCATTCCTAGTATGAAATGTTGCATGTGCGCTTGAACCACAAAATGGAGTTAAATTCTTCCTACAGGGTATAATTATCATCAAATTCACATCCGTTCTACTTCCGTACTCTGTCTAAACTATCTATCTATCTATCTATCTATCTATCTATCTGTCTGTCTACTTGTCCATCTGTCTATCTATCCATTTTTCGTTCTATCTATATGTCTATCTTATCGCTTTATTTATCTGGCTGATATTTTAAGAAATCTATCCTATAATGTTTTACTTGTTTTCACATGGGATAACTTATATCCAAGTTGTGCCAAAAATCACAAAGATACAGTTAGAACCAGAAATCCTGGGAAGCATGGTCCTCTTAGTCTTTCTAAGATATAAATTTCTGTACTTGTGTCCTAAGCATTTTCAAAGAAAAATTTGCTGCAAAATTACAAATTACAGAATGCTTAGGACAAGTTTCTCCAGCAAAATTAGAAACAGAGAACGATAATTCCACTGTTTTCTGGTTCTCTCTGTTACTTCAATATTTAAGTTATCTTTGCAGAGATATGAATTGATGTTAGCTAAATATCAGGTAACTTTCTTTAAAGAAGAATATCAAACTGCAAGGCTGTGACCTTCCTTAAAAAAAGGGAGGAGGGGGGGGGGCACTTTCATTTCCACCCCTCACCCCCTCCATTTCCTCCCATTAATCCTGCAAAGAGAGCTACAAATTTCAAAAATATCATAATAATTAAATATCTTCGTTTGCCTAAAAAAATAATAAACATAAAATTTTTTTATTAAATTTACCTTTGGTTAAACTTAATAAAGGAATTATAAGAATTAATGCCCGCATTTTATTTTGATTTAATTTGTCTTTTTGGTTTATTTACTAACAGTACGCAGATAACCGGATATTGACGCACACGCGCGTTTTTTGACGCGCGGACTTATAGCGTACAGAGTATACGCACAGACGCTTAGGCACGAACTGACGCGCATTCTTAGCACCTAGAGCACCCCACAGCACCCTCGCAGATATATAGTGCATAGCTTCATTTCTGCTCAATTTTACTTTCATCAAGGAGAATATTTAGGATCATTATATGGAAGTGGAAAATGATCAAGGAGAATATATAGGACTGTTATTAGATAGAAGTGGAAACAGATCAATGAGAATATATATAGGATTGTTAGATAGAAGTGAAAACAGATCAATGAGAAAATAAAGGATTGTTAGATAGAAGTGGAAACAGATCAAGGAGAATATATGGGATTATTAGATAGAAGTGGAAACCGATTAAAAAGACTATATGTTAGATAGAAAAGATAGCAATGAGAATTAATAGGATTGTTAAATGTGCATATGGATACAAATGAAGAAGAATACAAGAATTGATATAAAGGCACGCTCCATGTACTTATTTGTATGCACTGTTCTGCATCGTGCAGTACTACAGTNGTCCCTGAATATCTCATTAATTTTATTTTAGAGGCAGATCGGTGACGGCAGAAGTAGAGACAAAGGAACCAAACAAATTATAGAGAAGATTGTTAACTAAAAATAGAAATCATTCTCCTTTCAGTGAAGTCAGGGAATACATAAAAATCACGAAACCTATCAAAGAAGAAGCTTTCTCGACCATGAGCTACCCAGAAAGTGACCCTAAAATGACAAAGATCAAAGAATCTGACAAATCTTTCCCTGGGATGTTTAGAAAGATGAAAATATCCGTACTAAGCCTAGGGGTGTCAGAAATTGTTTTTTTAGCATATTTTTAAAAACTACTATAAAACTTTTAAAGTTTAATTTTTGATGAAACTTTTTGTTCTGGATGATTGCAAATATCTATAAAAACTTTCTTAAACCGGCATATTTTTTCTATTTTCATTTAGTTAACAGTTTGAGTCAAAATAAGTATTAATAAATATTGCTTTATATCGAGTAGATATCCTTAAACATATCGATGTGAAACCTTTCAGAAAGTAGGAAAGATTCTGCAGAAAAAAGTTGCCAAACCAAACAGAATTTATATTTTAAACAAAAATATTTAGAACTTACATAGAAGCTTTTCTGGGTTGCACTTTACTCTAGTTTTGCATTATTTTCATTTGTGTAAAACAGTATAAAAGAAATTCCGTCGATGGTTTAAAACTAAATTCCCCTCTAATATATATTCTATTCTCTATGTTTAAAACTAAACAGCTGAGGAATGGCAAAAACACCAATTTGTAATCCCAAAATCTTATAATGGAAAGTAATTGTAACAGGGAATACGGAGTGCAGGGTACCACAATATACTGCAAAGTACGTACTGGGCTTTACTGGGGTATACTGGGGGGAGGGGGTATAGAAACCAAACAGAATTTTTTTATTTTTAATAAAATATGTAAGTAGAGTCAGAAGCACTTCTAAGGATGTTTTCTTTATAGTTTTGCACTATTTTCATGGACAAAAAAGCTAGTTTAATACTAATCAGCTGATCACTTAAGGAGGGAGGGATGGCAACAATGCCAATTTGTAATCCCCATACCTGCAGGGTACTGTTGGGTACTGTGAGGGGCGATTGGGTTTCCATACACTTTGCTGTGACGTTTTTGGACTGCTGAAGAACTAGCTTTTGCGTAACAACAGTAATAAAGATTGTAAACAATATCACAAATGACAGACAGACATCTGGTGCATCTCTGGCGTTAGATGAAGATTCACCGTATACTAACTCATGTTTGTTTACATTAGATCGGCTGCCTTTGTTATTGTTGTTACGCAAAAACTAGTTCTTCAGCAGTCCAAAGTCGTCACAGCAAAGTGTACGGAAACCCAATCGCCCCCTCCTTCTCTTCAATTCTCCTTGCGGAGAGGTGGCTAAGGCAAGGTAATTAGCCTTACCTAGCTTAGCTGCTTCTCGCTTTTTCATCAAATTCGTCCTCTGAACTATAATTTATCTTTAAATCTATTTCATCTCTCATCTTGTTTTCAAATAAAATATTAATGATTTACAATTCTTTATATTGCCATATTTCTAAGCTGTTAAAATGTTTATTTAACAATATTTTTTCAGATAAGAATAAGATACAATGCATGAAGAAATAAGGATTTTATTATTGGAAAAAGTAACAAATTCCATTTAATTTGTTACATTGTAAATTTCCAAGCTGCAGCTACAAAACAGAAAATTGAATTCACAATTCACGAAGCAAATAAAATCAGAAAATAGAAGCAGGAAATAGAAGCAGGAAATAGAAACAGGAAATAGAAGCAGGAAATAGAAGCATGAAAAAGAAACAAGAATTAGAATCAGGAAATAGAAGCAGGAAATAGAATCAGGAAATGAAGCAGGAAATAGAAGCAGGGGAAAAAAACCAAGAAATAGAATCAAGAAATAGAAGCAGGAAATAGAAAAAGGAAATAGAAACAGGAAATAGAAACAAGAAATAGAAACAAGAAGTAGAAGCAGGAAATAGAAAAAGGAAATAGAAACAGGAAAAAGAAACATGAAATAGAAACAGGAAATAGAAACTAGCAATAGAAGCAGGAAATAAAAACAGGAAATAGAAACAGTAAACCAAAAATGGAAATTAAAACAGGAAATAGAAAGAGGAAAAATAAACATGAAATTGAAACAGGAAATAGAAACAAGCAATAGAAGCAGGAAATAGAAACAGGAAATAGATACAGGAAATAGAAACAGGAAAAATAAACAGGAAATAGAAACAGGAAATAGAAACAGGAAATAGAAACAAGCAATAGAAACAGGAAATAGAAACAAGAAATAGCAGCAGGAAATAGAAACAGGAAATAGAAACAAGAAAAAGAAGCAGGAAATTGAAACAGGAAATAGATACAGGAAATAGAAACAGGAAATAGAAACAGGAAATAGAAACAAGCAATAGAAACAGGAAATAGAAACAAGAAATAGCAGCAGGAAATAGAAACAGGAAATAGAAACAGGAAATAGAAACAGGAAAAAGAAACATGAAATAGAAACAGGAAATAGAAACTAGCAATAGAAGCAGGAAATAAAAACAGGAAATAGAAACAGTAAACCAAAAATGGAAATTAAAACAGGAAATAGAAAGAGGAAAAAGAAACATGAAATAGAAACAGGAAATAGAAACTAGCAATAGAAGCAGGAAATAAAAACAGGAAATAGAAACAGTAAACCAAAAATGGAAATTGAAACAGGAAATAGATACAGGACATAGAAACAGGAAATAGAAACAGGAAATAGAGAGTATAAAATAGAAAATATCTTATATCCCCCTCCCTCCTCCCTAAAGATAAATGAGAACTGGAACTGAAGTATCCTATCATATATTTGCTTCCAACATTGGTGTATTCTTGTCTAGCCAATATCCGTCATAGATCATTAACCATCGAAGGAGTGGATCAGAGCCGAAGAAGTTTTAAACTTCCCAGGTTGTCTCTGAGAATCCCATTAGAGACTCTCCGTTTCAAGAGTTAGATGCCCGAATCACAAATGAGTAAGAATGAGAAAGATATCTTCATTTTTCTCTCTTTTAAAACAATAAACGTTTAACAGTTCTTTCATTGTCTGTGCTGCATAAACCAGCGAACTATTTGAATGAAAAACCAAATTAACACACGATTATTTCTTAATTTCTATTAAATTCTGAAAGGCTGTATTTTTTATTGAATAATTAAAAGTTTAGAAACTGGGAATAAATTCAGCCTGAAACTCATTTAAATTAATCATCATAAACATGACACTGTGGGTATTAATAAACATGATACAATGGGTGTTGATAAACATGATACAGTGGGTATTAATAAACATGATACAGTGGGTGTTGATAAACATGATACAGTGGGTATAGATAAACATGATACAGAGGTATAGATAAACATGATACAGGGTGTATTAATAAGCATGATACAGTGGGTATTGATAAACATGATACAGGTAGTATTGATAAACATGATACAGGGAGTATTGATAAACATGATACAGGGGGTATTAATAAACATGATACAGGGAGTATTGATTAACATGATACAGGGGGTATTAATAAACATGATACAGGGAGTATTAATAAACATGATACAGGGGGTATTGATAAACATGATATAGGGAGTATTGATAAACATGATACAGGGATTATTGATAAACATGGTACAGGGAGTATTGATAAACATGATACAGGCAGTAATGATAAACATGAAACAGGGAGTATTGATAAACATGATGCAGGGAGTATTGATAAACATGATACAGGCAGTATTGATAATCATGAAAATTTCTTTAAGAAGAGCGGAGGTATCTGAGAAAAGGGTTTGTAGCAAAAATAATGGGGATAAAAGGAGAAACTGAAAAAAGATTACTACGATACCAACGGTACCCAGAGAGACTTTGTTTGTTGAAGTACAGTGAATCCCAGATATATCAATACATAGCAAGAGTTTTTTATAATGTCGTATTACATATTTAAGATCAAAATCCGCGGAAAAATTAATTTATCTTGAATTAAAAATAAAAAGAAGTTTCTTTAGAAATATCAAAAAACTAAGGACGGTCTATGTATTCATATATCTGGGATTCACTGTATGATTTTATGTCCATGTTAATAGTTTTAAAAACTGATTATTTTCAATGGTGATTTCTCTACAAAAGTTACTTACTCATTTCTTTTAAACCTAGAAAAGCGAGAATATCTTCCATAGTATTGATCAGATAAGGTTTAAGGGTACCGGTGTGAATCGGACATTGTCATTTTCAATCCAGGCTTATTCGAGATTACGCTGAATTACGCTGTAAATATCATGCAAAAAGAGATGTACTTGAAATTACTACGATAATCATTCTAATATATACAAATGATCCTCAAACATAGAATCCTAATTTTTAAAGTCCTTGCTCCGACCATTATTTCTCAATAAAAAGGAATTGATTATGTTTCTTCTGTGACGTTCCCATCAATTCTAAGTAATGTAAGAAAAACAAGAAATGAGG